ACGAAGAAAGTGTCTAAATTAATTTTTATCATATGCTTACGTTCTATTACATTTCTAATCATCTCTTTTAAAAAAAATCAACATTGCCGAGGAGTGGGGGGTAGTTAAAATAATAACGAGAAAAAACCGTCCTTTGACATTCTAGTTTTTGTCGGCTTCCAAGTTTGTCAATCGTCTTTATCATTGCTTTTTATTACACATTCGAGGTCGACCGTTAAAATACATCTTATCAGTTATAAAAAACTTAGTAGAGAAAATAAAGGCATTGAATATAGGATATATTATGTCAGGGGTAGTTTTGTGCAACACCGCAAGTTATTATAAAACCAAAAATAAAATAGGCCTAAGAACCAGAGTAATCTTCTTAAATAGCCTCGTCAGATCTCGTCTTGCGTATGGATGTCATGCATAGTGTCAAACGCGTTCAGAAATATCTAAACTATAATCTATACATAACTGCTTTCTCAGATTTCTGTGATCAAAAATGGCTTCCGGGAAATAGATCCTTTAGGTCTTCAAGAATACAATACCTCATCAAACGTTACTGACTGGCGCTACAACATCACAAATAAAGAACTATAGCAAATAACACAAGCAAGATGACTTGAATTCCTCCAACAACAGCAACAACTAAAAGAGATAGTAACTAGAAAAGAGTATAATGATATAATCAACTGTTAACTTTCCGAAACAAAAGACATGGAAGAAACTTCCATTAACATTAGAAAGAACGATGACAGTGCACTTTTAATTTTATAAACTTTTTTAAGAAAAATATTTTAGAAATTTCAACCGACGGTAATAGTAATTGCTCGGGCAATGAATGCTGAATGTTTCATATAAGGAAACTTCTCATTTCACCATTACCAATACCATTAACGATTAGGATCACAGAAGAAAACAAATTAAGAATAACTAAAGAAAATGCTTAATACTACCACCAATAACATCTGTTTGCTTTATTTTAATTTATTTTTGCATATTCTTTATCGATGTGTGTTGTAACGAATAACGGATAAGAATTAGAAAGAAAGGAGAGCTGAGTTCCAATTCCAGTTGGGTTCCTTATATTCGCTTACCCCCAAATAACCTTAGGAAAGGCATGAATCCAACTCTTCTCTTCCACCAGCTACGAGTTGAATAACAGGACAAACGAATATTTCTAGGCTGTAAGAATTTTTTTTACATAATAATGATTTAGCGATACAAATCTTACTAATTAACCCATATTTTGGGGGAGAAGAGACAGATTTATACCTTCCCCAAGGGTTTTGCGCGTAAGTGAATATAATGAACTCTACTGAGATTGGATCTCGGCTCTCTGAATTCTGTGCCACTATCCATTACACCACCCACACATCCAAGCTTATAAAGCTTACAGCACCTGATATTCTCAAGTGGTCACCCATAAAGTGAATATAATGAACCCGACTGAAATTGGAACCCGGCTCTTCTGATTCCAATTCCGAGCCGTTATCCATTACACCACACGCACCTCCAAGCTTACAGCACCTGGTATTCTCAAGTGGTCACTCATCAAATTACTAACCAGGCTCGACGTTGCTTAAAGATTCGATATAAGCAAACTGCTTTTCTATCACCGAGCTAAGTAAACGCCAATAGTCTCAAATATAGATATCCAATATTAATTCTCTCCAAACCAAGACGGATGCTTATAAACTCAAATATAAACAACGAATATAAATCTATTCTTGAACCAAGTAAATGTTTATAGACTCAAATATAATCGACCAATATTTACCTATTCTTGACACAAGTAAGTGCTTGCAGACTCAAATATAAACAACCAATATTTACCTATCACTGTACTAAGTAAATACTTACATGCCAAATATTAACGACCAATATTTACTTTTCCATTATCTTAAGCATAATTAACTTATATATTATTTATTGATTCAAGCATAAAATTAGGTGTAGTTACTTGGATATAAAAGCATAAACCCAACATATTTCCTATCCACAAACCAAGGAAATGCTTAACGAACATTGAATATATTGCAACAAAAAAGAAAAAGAGATTGGGAAGATATTAAAATATCAGATCACAGAGATGTTCTAGCGATAGACATTTCCCGGGTGTCGCTTAAATAACACTTATATAGTCTTGTTTTTCTCTTGAGAGATATTTCGTCAGCTTTCATTGTCTTCATTATTCTCTGTGAACTACTTTGAATCACTATTCAGTTTACTACCAGTGTCAGACCAGAAAGAAGTCCTTATCACTTTGTGGTACAATTTAAGCGAAGAGGTGGTGAGGAAGTCATGCCCTACAGACATCAAACTGCCACTAGCCACGATGAACAGATGTTCCCTCGAGGAGGCATCGTGCTTTGAGAGAATACTGGGCCACAAACTTACACCTGACCTTAAGTTGAATTCCTATATACGATCCATCGCAAAATGCAGGTAAAATGATCGGCTCTCTGTACTGCTCTAGTAAGTACCTGACTCCTCATGCTATTCGTTACCTTTATAAGATCCATATCAGGCCGAAAATGAAGTGCTGTTGTCATATTTGGGCGGGAGCTACCCAATGCACACTTTCTAGTCTTAATAGAGTTCAAAAAAAGTCTCTGAGTCCTTGTTGGAGAGGAATTATATTCCACCTTTCAATCTCTCCCTCACAGGCGGGAGTCTAACTTTCACGGTTAGGATCCGCCATACCACTTACATAGTAGCAAACCACTGACATTACCTCCGTATTCCATCGGTGAGAAGTAAGTTCCACTTGAACAGCTTCTTCCTGCGAACCACTGATCTGTGGAACCAATTCTCAAGAAGATGTTTCTCTGATCACTACAATCAAAATCGGTTCAAGTCCTGAGTCAACTGTTATCTTCTCCTCCTATCTATATAAAATGTTCCTGAACGTAACCCTCTACCTCGAGTGTCCCCCTGGCCCTGTACAGGGTGAACCTTACTATAAAAAGCAAAAAAGCAAGACCCGTCGTTTTCCTGTTTGCGGAATATGTTCTCGCTAGTCAGTTGGGAGATAAACCAGGTCCGTTTGAATCTGGAATCCTAAATATGGCTTCCCTAGAAGTAAATCTATCTCTTTTCGTACCCTTTCACTCTACTTGTTGTTGCATACATGCTATAGTTTATTTGCGTGGAACACATATTAATATGTATATATTATTTTGTGAATGACATAGTGTTATAAAACTCTCTCTAAGAACTAAGCATATTTGTCATTCCTTTTCTTTCAGTCATTCTTTTCCGTCCGTGAAATAAAATGTTTTATTATCATGGATATTATAATGCCCATAATGGGGGAAATAAGGATGGGGGAATATTCACTTTCTTCCATCAATCACCCATTATCTGGTGATGTTGCTGACGTGATATGTTATTCTTAACATACGTTAACTGGTCACTCCAATGTGACGTATTATCACCCCCAATTAATATTTTTTCTGAGATATCTCGTCAGCTGTTCCAGAACAAATAAATTCCTTACGAGAAATGTGTAGTATTTCTTGATAGTCGTATGATAAATACCTAGTTAGTTCGAAGTAACACAAGAAGCGACACAAAGAGCGAATAGTCGAGAGAGAATCAAGTAATTTCCTCGGCATGGAAAGTGGAATGAAAATAATCTACCCTCTTGTAAGGAATAAAGTGTCCGGCTCAAAATTTCGAAGCGATCATCGAATACTATAGACACCTGAAGAAGGTCGACGTGTAAAACGGTTGAAACGTGACAATCAAGATGAGGAGACTGGTTCGATTGAAAAACATAATAACTTGCATTTGAGTAAGAAAATTTCAATTTTTTTCTCTTTTTCTTGGCTTTATCGTTTTTTTTTTTTAGCGGCATATCAACATCTCCATGACTTATTTAATGCCGAAATCTAAATATTTTGTATGCAATCTTATTTTATTTTTGGAGATAATAATGAATTTATGGATACAAGTCTTACTAATTAACCCATAGGTGGGGGAGAAGATGTGGATTCACCCCTTTCCTAAGTGTATTTGTGCGTGTGAATCTAACGAACTCAACTAGATTTGAAACTCGGTTTCAAAATTCTGAGCTTTTATTCATTACACCACCCGCGAATCCAAGCTTACAGCATATGGTATTTCGAAACGGTCACCCATCCAGGTATTGATCAAGCTCGAGGTTGCTTAAGTTCGGTGATCAACGTGATGTGGCCGTAAGCCTAGGCTGGTCCGGATGGAAAAGTATATAATAACTTGAATTTGAGTAAGAAGTTTCAGCTCTTCCTTGAGTGTTCTCTTTTTTTCTCACGATATACGTTTATTTTATTAATATTGCATATTCTTGTGTTTTTTTTTTTATTTTGTCCCAACGCGTCCACAAACTGCTATACCGTGAGAAACGTCATAGTCTCTTACAGTAAAAAAATTCTTATACGCCAGCTGTTACGCGTGGAAGGTCTTTGGTAATCATTCGCACCATTTAATGCTTTCAACCATACTTAATTCTGTTTTCAGATTATCTCCTTAGAACGTGTTCCTTGTTTGTACTGAATCATATTGAGCGCATTTCAATGCCTAAACGGAAAGTCGCTAACCTGAACCTTTTACTATTATCATTCCCACCTCTACTTAATGTTCCACACATGTCCGTAACTAATCCACCTGACTGATGATCGCAGTTGAACTTTTCATAGACTTGTTTAACTAACACTGACTAATCACTAGCATCTACTGTCAAGGAAAAAGAAATAGATAAATAGTAACAAAGCCACAAATAAACAATTGGTAAAGGTGGGGGATGACTAACCTTCTTCGGACCTAAAAAGTTTCATTTCTTTTTAGTTTAAGAATGGCAAAGAAAAAAAGAGACTTTAAGTGAAACAAGCGTGTCATTGAACAAGTGTAGAAGGGGAACTGGCATGTGTAAGAAAAAGCGAAAAGAGGGGAAAATAAGAAATCAAAAAGAAGAGGGAAAGCTATTCTGGTAAAGGCGGGGCTGGATAGAAGACATGTAGAAAGAAAAGAAGGCATTAAAATAATTTTTGGGTAGCAGATATAAGATGATAGGAGGAAGATGGCGGAAGAGAAGGAAGAGAAAGGAATAGAAAGTTAAAAAAATAAATAACAGGAAGAGGAAAAGAAAAACGAAAAGAGGAAGATAGTATGATGGAATGAGGAAAGGAAGGACTGATGGGTGTGATGAAAGAGAAAAAGAAGGTGGATATAAAGTGAAACTGCGAGAAGGAGAAAAGGGAAGAAGAAGAGTAGAAAAGAGAGAACGAGGAAAAGAGGAGGAGGAAATAGAAAAAAGAAAGAGAATTAAAAGAAAATAATAGTGATAAAAAAAGAAAGCGTGAGGAAGGAGGAAGAGAAAAGGTGAGAATGACATAGAAAGGGAAGAAGATTAAAGAGAGAATGAAAGAATGAGAGGAGAAAGTAAGAAAAGAAAGAGAAAAAAACATAAAAATTAAAAGAAAATAACAGAAAAAGAAAAAGAAAAGGAGAAAGGCAGCGTGAGGGAAAAAAGAAAGGAAGAAGAGATATGAGTAATGAAAGAGAGAATGTTGCTAAAAGAAAGAGGAAGGAGGGCATAAAAGGTGAGAAAGAGTAGAGAGTGTATAAAAGAGAGGGCAATAGGAGGAGGGGAAATACAAGTGTGCGCATGCGTGTTATTCAATCTCAACTATTGTTTTTCAAACAAAAAATAAAAGGGAAAAATGGGAAATTATCTAATTTCTTTTAATAGTTTATTTTTGTATCAAGCAGAATTTCTCTGACGAAGAGAAGAGAATGAAGATAATGTTGCGCCATTCTTCCAGGTGGGGGATAGCCTTACTAATTTGAAATTCTAAATCTTATCTGGAATCAAACATTGATCTTTTTCACCATTAACTTTCTCAATACGAGACAGCTCTGGGTAAATTTATAATCCTCTGGTAAATTTATTGTCCTATGGTAAAAGGCTAATATTTTGAAAGAAATAACAATGAGGATCGAACTCCTTATAGAATAAAGATCTTTGTGATTACCACTCGAGGTGTCTCAGCATGTACAGGGCAACAAAAATACCCTGAAGACTGTTATTCAGAAAAGAGTAAATCGAGTATGTTGATTCCGAATCCGTACCCAAGGCAGTGGAGTAATGGATAGCGTGCTCGGATTGAGGAATCGGAGGGCTGATTTCGAATTCCAGTCGAATCCATAACATTCACTTACATACTCTTGGGAAAGGCATGAATCCTCTTTTTTTTCTCCCAGCTATGGGTAAGTAGCAGGACAGACCGGGTTCTATAGCCTTGGATGGTAACTGGTCTACCGCAGAAAGAAATGGCAACCTAATGCGAAAAAAAATCCGCCTCGTCAGCCACGTATCTAAAGAGAATTAAAATAATAATGATAAAAAAGGAAAGCGTGAAAAGTGGATATAGAGAGAAAATTGAGAGAAAGAGAAAGAGGGAGGAGGGGATGAAAGGTGATACATGATCGACTAAGCGTGTATCATTTATGGCACATAACTGACTGACATGTACTGTATTGAGAGATCTTGTCTTATATAAATTCCACTGGCTTAAAAATATATCGGCTATTCCTACAAATGATGCTTCCCTCAATTAGATACAGTACGCTGATTCTGATTCTATATCCAGAAGAGCCCTTACGTATTAGTTTTATAGATATGCACCTTCCATATCTAAAGGTTGCGATTGGTAAATTGTCGCCATTTTATATATTTAATTTCCCGCATGCGCGTTATTTTTGATTTTGTTGACAGTAGAGTCAGTTGGGCACTGTCTGTGCGAAAAAGAGCACAAGGATGCAATTCCCCCCGCCAGAAATTTAGAAACGGTATGCTGTACTGCTTGGCACCACTACGAACGTTTCAGAGTGTTTGGTTGTCAATCTGAGGACAGTGCAGAGGATTCGGAAGGAATTGAATGAGTCTAATAGTGATTACGAAGGTAACGGCAGCTCAGAAAACTGATCGTTCTGATAAAAAAAGGAACCCCCGAATTTGCTGGTAGGGGCCTCAGACTCAACACGGAGACATACATCAAGTATCTTGAGGAAGTAGTGCTGCCCTGGGTCAAGAGGGTGGCTGCTGCAAGACCCTATGTCTGGCAAGAGGAAGCAGGAGAAACCAGTCATGGAGGTCAGACAATTTCTGCAACCACATCACCCCTTTTATCTGGCCACCTAACTACCCAGACTGCCACCCTCTTGATTATTATGTGTGGGGTGTAGTTGAGAGAGAGACCAACAAAACTTCCAAAGATGAACTGAAGGCAAGGATTATGACAGCATTCAACAACATAAACAAGGAGACAGTCCAGAAGAGATGCGGGAGATTCCGGATTCGTCTGGAGGCCGTGGTTGAAACCAATGACGATTTTATGGAATAAATATACTCTTTAGTGTTTCAAGATATTTTTGTGTAATTTTGCTAAATATATCTGTTAGAATGAGATGTCTGTGTTATTTTCATTCTTGCGTAATTTCGACGACAATTTATCCATCGCACCTTGTATATTCAAGGAAAATATTATCTTAATAATATCTTAGTATATATTTTGTAAAGAAGTAATGGATTTATTTTTAATCCATCTTTTGTATTACATCAAATTTCTTTATTTCGATTTCCCGAATTCGCAGACCGATAGACACTGAAAAAATAATAATAAAAATGGATCATCTATTTCAAAATACGAGTATCCACTGTAATAATGTAATTAATGCGCAAAGGTGGTCCTACTTTACGGCCCAGAAAGCTGGTGGGTAACCAAAACCAACTCCCACAAACTTCAGACATTTACCAACCGACGTCTCAGTAACACCTTCAATATCAGGTGGCCGGAAGTTGTCTCCAACGACCATCTGTGGGAGAGGACCAGACAAACCCCAATTTAAATTGACATCAAGAAACGGAAATGGGGATAGATCGGCCACACACTCCGCAAGCTGGCTTCTAGTGTCACCAGGCAGGACCTTGACTTGAATCCACAATGGAAGTGAAAAGTGTTGACACAGAGGTGAAGGCAGCCGTTACAACATAAGCCGAGCTGAAGAAGGATCGCTCAGAACCGCGTCCTTTGGATAGGAGGTGTTGTGGCTCTATGTTCCCCAAGGAACCAAGAGGCATAAAAATAGTCTATTTATGTTTAATAGTGTTTTATTAGTCGTTTCCTTGCGAGTAGCCAGTCATTTGAAATTTATTAAATCTTGAAACAATTTTCAGGCAAACATGTTTGCCAAGTCCAGTGGCTGTTATTTCTCTTTACCGTATTGTTAGGAGTTTCCTTCCTAACCTTTTACTTCAAGTAATGTGGAACGCTAATATCTTGATTATGGCATTGTTTTCTCCTCGAGCTACATGTGATATCCACTGTAGTTGTTGTTGTACGTCCTCAAGCTTCCAGGACTTGGTATTCCCAAGCGGTTACCGATGTAGTTACTGACCAGGTCCGGCGTTGCTTAACTTCAGTGATCGTACTAGAATCCGTTTTTCGACGTGATATGGCGGTTAGCCGAAATGAAGCAGAAACTAATATGCAATTAATATAACTGAAAAGAAAAGTAAGATGAACGGAAGGTTGTCAGCAAAAGACAGAGACAAAAGCGTTTGTTACATACTGCAGATGGTAAAATCAAACATCCAAAGAAATTGAACTATCTGGGTAGTGTAGTAACAGACGACAAAAATTATGACACGAAAGATTAGCTAAATACGTCTTTCAGAAACTAAACAATTCTTGGAATGTTCACAAGTTTTCTGTGAAGATTGGTAAACGTGGTATGGACATAGCTTATGGTGAATATGCTATGAAGAAGTGGAGAGTTGTTGAGAGGCACGAACATAAGATGTTATTAGCCAAAAAATAAAGATACAAGTACGAATAATGTGCGCTCGGATCAAAAACTATACTATCTGAGTAGTGTTGTAACAGACGACAAAAACTATGTCACATAAGAATAGCTAAATATACCTTTCAGAAACTAAACAAAGTATTAAGAGATAGGAAAATGTTCTTAGAATATTCCCCGGTGACTCGAATACATGAATTTAAGCGCACTACTAGACTGGTAATTAGGTATCTCTGTTTTACTGTTGAACTAGCTCGGTGCAAATGACACATAGATTTAAACAGTTTTCTCGCATTTATCGCTCGCCTGTGGAATTCCTCTCCGACATCTGGCTCCCCTGCCGCCTACAATCTTCAAAATTTTAAGTGCAATGTCAATCGCCATCTTCTATCTTTTTGAAACCTTTATTGTTCTTTTCTCTCTTCACCTCACTAAATTCTCATTATTTTTCACTCCTTCTAACCTCTTGCATCTTAATGGCATTACGCCTTTCTTGGGTTGAATTTTAAAAAAAGCAAAGAAAAGAGTTCTGAAATTACATGTATTATCATATCTTCTATGTGGCATTAAATGCTGGATAATATTCTCTCAGATGAAGAAGAGATGTGGTTCTACAGAAGGATACTGATGATATGGCCAGAAAATGTGAGAAAAGGGGAAGATTTAAGGAAAAATAAGTACTACAAGAAAACTTAGACTTACAATCAGAAAGCGTCAGTATAGTAATTTCTGAAACACATGAGAAAGAAACAAGGATGAGAAATTTTAACACTCACAAGCCATACGAAAGCACGTGGGTAAGGGTAAACATCGAGAAACATACATAATAAATTTGTGTAAATGGGTAGCCAAGTTGAACAAAAACGTGGACACAATGAAGATAATAGGGACAGAGGAAAACATAAAGTAGAAAGACTATATTGAATTCATTGATAGGTTTGCTGCTAAGAAAGTTGGTTCACTGTGTCATGCTAGACAATTTTTCTCTCCTAAATCTATCTTACATATATATATGTCAACCATTCGTCCTTGGCTAGAATATTGCTGCCATATATGGTTCGGTGCTCCTGCTACATATATAGAGTTTCTTGATAAAATCCAAAGACGACTCAACAATGTTATTTTGTCCTGACTTGGCGTCTCAGTCAATTTCCTACCGCTGTAAACTTGCTTCGCTGTGCCTCATCTATAAATACTTTCATGGTAATTGTTCGAATGAGTTCTTTGCTATGCTATGTGGACTTTATGAATTTAAGCGTGGTAATAGATTAGTAACAAGGTCTCCTCAATTACAGTTGAATTGGATAAATGCTTCTGGTTCCATGCATTCTAGTCAACTTTGATCTTTAAAAATTTAAATGCAATGTCAATCATTATCTACTGTCTTCTTTATTACTCTTCTACTGTTATCGCGCCTTGATAATGTTTTTGTTTTTTAATTCTTTTTCGCCCAGTAACCTCTTGTGTCTTAGAGGCTTTATTGCCTTGCTTGGGGTGAAAAACCAAAAAACAACATAACATACCGTATTTTCCAGCTTACCATAAAAAATACGTGTGCGTCTTCCAAGACGAATGTAAGTCTCAAGTAAGCTTGGACAGTCGCCTAATTGGCTTAACTGATAGGGACGTGGATTTATATGTTGAGTCATTAAACTACACCCTTGTTCAAATTAATTGAAACAACGGCTTTGGTTTCCTTTCTTTCACCATACGGTCAGTTTTAGACCCACTGGAGTGACAGGGTGAAATCGATTTCTATTTTTCCTCAGATTACGTCATTTGCAGTGATGTACAGTAATATGAATCTATTTTCGAGGGGTATAGTGAAATTTGTTCGGCTCTGAAAAATATTGCGTCATTGTGATTGCATCAGATTTTTATCACGTCCAGACACTATTGTCTCGACTGTCGATTAGTTGTCCTATGGGCATTGGCTGCGATAGATGTTACTCCAAGGAGGCATAAGAAATTTCTAATGCTGCACGAACACAATGCCTTACCAGTGAGCAAATGAAAGTACTATCGACTGGCTCGGAAACTCTCCTGATTTAAATCCAATCGAGGATCCGTGGTCAGTCTACAAGGAAAGACTTCGTGGAATGGACATAAGAAGTACTATCATGTACACCGGGTCGTGTTTCATTGGAAAAATACGAAAAAAAAGTAAATAATGACGGAATTATTCGTTTTGTTTCAATTATTTTGCACTCGGGTGTATAATGTTAGCTATCAATCTAATTCAGCCTTTATATGATGTAACCTCAGTACATAGCTGTTACGAGTATTTCCAAGACTATAAACCTTTCTGGAGCCGAGCCACAAGCTTAAACATGCTCTGTTTACTAACAGCGGCGGGAGCCTTTCTTCTCACTGCCATACAAACAAAATCGGACGAGTGATTAATATAAACAATGCGCGGCGCCAGTATGTGAGGGACGTATGGTGAATGTGTTGTTGTATGAGAATGACCTTTTCTTTTCTTAGAAATTTCTTTCCAATATTAGGGTGCGTCTTACAAGCCGCATCGTCTTGTAAGTCGGAAAATATAGTACTTAGTGAGCTTGAGTAAATGAATGGCGGTACAAGATTCTGGAGAAACAACAAAAAGGCAAAAAATTAATAAGAGCTACGAAGGACAGGAAATTATGGAGAGCCGTGATCGCCAACGTCCTGAAGGGACACGGCACATAAGAAAGAAAGAAATGTTCTTTAGCTGTATAGAGTTCAAGGTTTACTTGGAAATTATGAAAGAAGAAAAGAAACAATTAATATGAAGATTCAAATGGGTACAACGCTACGCATGAATGGATAACTTATCGGCTCTTAATCCGGATATGTGGCGGGAACTGGTCAGGAGCTCAACTGCGCATCAACCCTACGACCATTCGGTCATGGACTGATGATGAAGATGATGATCAATGGGATCTGTGTTGCGCGATCCGTGTCATATAAAGTTTTGTTGTAAACAGCTTAAAGTAAACAATTCGACAACACACAGATGGAGTTAGGCAGTTATGACTCACTTAATTGTGAGTAATTTTATCGGTCTCTGAAAGTAGAGAGGACACCCCTAACAGATGTCACCTCATATAGGGTGATCTCTCATATCACATCTCGATGAATATAGTTTATGAAAAGGCGTATTGGTAATAGCAAAAGATGCCTTCCAAAAGTTAAACGTAGTATTAAGAAACAGGAAAATCTCTTTAGAAACAAAGAGGCAATAATGGCAATTTGAATGATGCAAATTGAAACCGGCATGTAATATCAGTCATTCTATATAGCAGTGAATGCTGAAGAATCTCCTCGCAGATAAAGAGACTTGAAGCAACAGAAATGTGGTTCTACAGAAGGATGCTGAGAATATCTTGGACTGAAGATGTGAGCAACGACCAAGTTTTATGGAAAATGTAAACAAAAGAGATAATTGATATTTCTTGGCGCATACTGAAGAAAGATGGCTTGCAAAATTTAATACACACTGGACATTTTGAAGGTAAGAGAGAAAGGCGAAAGCAGCTAGTAGTCTGACAGAATAATTTCGTTAGAATCAAATAAAAGACTACTGAACTTTTATGTAATATCTATTCTCCTATATGACAGTGGATGTTGGACAATCTTCTCACAGATGAAGAGACTTAAAGCAACAGAAATGAGGTTCTATAGAAGGATGCTGTGTATGCCATGGACTGAACATGTTAGAAATGACGAACTTTTAGAGAAAATGGAAACAAAAAACTTTTGGTACCCACTGAGGAACATATTGACGACTGAAAATTGACGACAAAAGAGAAAGAAAGAAGCGATTTGTGTAAATGGTTGGCAGAACAGGGATTAGGAAAGATAGTGGAAAGACAAAGCATACTCAAAGCTACAAATGATCGCCCACGTCTTGTAGGGACACAGAAGAAGAAGAAGAAGAAGAAGAAGAAGAAGAAGAAGAAGAAAGGACTGCAGGATTCTTCATTAAAAATGTCTAGGATGCTAATCTCAAAGACAATTATAGGACGATATTTCCCTATTCGCAAATGCTATTAATTTCTGGCAAACATTTTCCAGATATAAGATTCGAAACGACTCTGCCTTTTTCAACCGACTCTGCCGTTTCCAGACGACTTACAGATTCGAAGAATCTTTTTTCAGATTGTGATCAACTGACGAAAATTTAAAGAATTCTGTGCTAATCTCATTAGATAATCTAATTCCAAACAATACACTTTTGGCGAAATCGAAACAGACTCCAAAGTCTTATTAAAGAAGCAAAGTATGTTTTGGGATCTTTATAAATCTACCATTCGCCTGTACTCCCATTTCTGGTCTGGTGCTTCTGCGATGTGTCTAGAGATTCTTGACAGAACCCAAAGAAGAATCTGCAGTGCTATCGGTCCAGACCTGGCATCTCAATTTCAGTCAATGTGCGCTCTGCTTAGGGTCGAAATATTGTTGCCCGATTCTCTGACAAGTATGCGTGTAGTCTCGTACAATCACCGAAGTTAAACAACATCGAGCCTGGTCAGGACCTAGATGGATGGCCGCTTGAGGATACCAGGTGCTGTAAACTTGGATGTGCAGGTGGTGTAATAGATAATGGCTCGGAATTGTTAATCAGAGAGCAGAGTTCAAATTCCAGTCTGGTTCATTATATTCACTTATGCCCAAATACTCTTGCGAAAGATATAAATTTTCTTCTTGGCCTCCAGCTATTGGTTAATTAAAAATTCTTACCACCTAAAATAATTTCTGGCTTTAAATAACCTGATAAAGGTTGAGAGACCGTAGAAAACGAATCCATCAATCAGTATGTGTATGTTAATTGTACTAAGCTTTCGTTGCAAAGGAACAGGCGTAATTACCTCTATGTTAGACGTTCGAATCGGAGCATGGTTTACTTGTTAATTTTAACATAACTGTTTCTTTTAGCATGACAGGAAGTAAGGCCCGAGAAACGAAAAACGTATAAACTCTAACTGTTCATTATTAAATATTACTTTTTTAAATTTTATTTTCATCCTCAGTAAAGCACGTAGCCCTGAAGGTTATAAAAGTCTGTTAGATTTGCTTCGTAACCATTGTAAGACAGCAATGCACTTATATATGACATATATAATATTATATATGTTTAGAAAAACGGAAGTCAAAATGGCAACAATTGAAAAAAAAGAAGTAAAGGAGGTAAATAGAGAAAATCTTAAGGATTGAGCGTAAAGTGAAAAAAAAAAAAAAACGGCGAAAAGGACAAATACTCACATTCTACAAGTACGCACATACGCGAAGACAGGCGCATGGGTGCACGCACGCGAACACACGCACGCACACGCAACGCACACGCACACGCACGGACACAAACACTATGAAAAAAAAACTTGCACTAATGAAAAGTGCATTTAAAAAGCATAATCGAGAAGTATTAACAGTCAATTCTGATACCCACTGACGAGTGGACGGAGTGATTCTAGGAGGGTCCATCTACGAAATTTTGGAGTCGTGATGCTAAATGTAACATCAATCAGGTAAGTGACAAACATTTTACTTGTATTAATTCTATTAATACACTATCTCTGATATTGAGCACTTTATTCCTTTAAATGTCTTTTCTCACTAGTATCCCGCTGACTGAAAGCTTCACAATCTATCTATCTATCTATCTATCTATCTATCTATCTATGCCTGTCATGCTATTGTAGTAATGTAATCATTGCTCCCCAACAAGGCTCCGTTAGTATGGTAGCGGTAATATTAATGATTTTATTATTTAAAAACATTCAGCATTAACGCCTTTCCAGGCGTAGACGCGTATATACGGTTTTACCAAAAGTGTTTTTTTCAGACGTGGACGAATAAACACGTGCATAGCATAACGTTCAAAAACCAGCTACAGACGTGTTTATACATTGATCTTGATTCTTTTTATGTCCTTCTGAGTTTGAAATTGTCAACTCATACATCTGGTAGAGGTTTTAGCCAACCCTTGGTTAATTCATGATGCCTCAGTTTCTTAGTTACTATATTAAAAACAAATAAAAAAAAAGATCGTCAGAAAATGAAACGTTTTTCCCTAAATAATTTGCGGTTAAAGGGTTAACCGAACAGCCAGTACTACTGTCGGTTAAAATTGACAAAATCTTTCTATTAAAATATTTTTTTCAGGAAAATAATTAGTGAAGTGAAAATAATTGCATAATCGAAGGTTATGCCATTATTTTTACTTCGAGTCACATATGCAATCCTTTTTACCTGTTGCTGCTGTTGTTGATGTGATTTCAGTTATTTTGATGCATGTTTTTGTGATTCTGTAGCGCCAGTCGACACGGTTCATAGAAGGATTGACATCGCTAAATCTAAATGCTTCTTTCGCTAACAGACATTTTTAACCATTGATCTCAAAAAGCGGTATTTACGATCATGAATTGAGTTCTTAGGTTAATGTATTTGGTTTTGGTGATGGGCTGAAGCGGACCTATTTAGAGCCTCGTTGTGGAGTGTCCCTATCCGAAATTCATTTTCTGTGAAGGATAACCATTACGAAACATCCACACTATTTCTACATTTCTTTCTTTATGTTTTTCTTTCTTTCTTTAAGTTTCTTTATTTTTTTTAATTCTTTCTAGTTTTTTACTTTTTGCTTTAAAGATCCTACTTTTTAATTTTGCCTTCATATCTTTCCAGTCTTTCTTTCTTTTTTTCTTTCTTTCTTTCTTTCTTTCTTTCTTTTACGTGTTTATTCCCTACAGATCTTTCTTCTTTCTATATACGTGTTTTCTTCCCATTTCTTTTTTTCTTTCTTTCTTATTTTCTTTCTTTTTCAGTTTCTCTTCCACTTCCTATTTGTTAACATCTCATTTCTTTCTTTTTTTCCTTCTTTGTTTCTTTGTCATTTTTTCTTCTTCCTATTTACTTATTTTCTTTTCATTCTTTCTTTCTTTCTTTCTTTCTTTCTTTTTCTTTCTTTCTTTCTTTCTTTGTCGGTAAATACATACAACAATTTAATTTTTTTTTCTTAGAAATGAAAAACACAGTAATATTTATAATACTAAATTATGTTTTATATCATTTTTGAGTTTGCCAGCTATTACCTTTTTCTGATTAAATATTCTTGAGGTGGAAACTTCAAGCGTAACCTCTTCAGTCAGAAAGAGAATTTTTCTATCTCATTTTCGTGTCTATTCAATACATTGCAGAATTACCAGTTACGTGTTTTTAAACACGACATCATGTTACTTCAAGCTTGAAAAATGGGAAAGAAAAGACATTTTAAACACAAACTCTATTTGCGGTCAAAACCTGCTTTTATATATGGTTAATATGTAGTTTAAAAAGTATAAAATTTCGTGTTGTAAGTTACACGATGGACTTTCTATTTAACTTTCTCTTTTTAACCCACTGTTTTTATTTTATGCTAAAATATAAATGCGTTCGTATTTGCATTAGATTTTATATTATTTTTGTCAGGCTTCTGAAGCCTATAGAATCAGTAGAGACCTCCACAGAGTTCATTACTCGATCCTACCGTCTTTTTTATTTATATTAAGGGACAACCTAAGGATATCCCAAAATAAATAGTAAATATCGTGTGTAACAGCAAAATTGTCCAAATTGTGTAACAGCAAAATTGTCCAAATTGTGTAACAGCAAAATTATCCAAATTGTGTAACAGCAAAATTATCCATTTGTTAGATTAAGCTTTGAACCGTTGTATCCTAGAAATGATTAAAGTTATCTTACTGCTATTCTCCGAGGTTTTTATAACACTATTGGACTTTGAGTAATAAGAATGTATTTGGTTCTAAGTTGAAATGATAATCCTTCTTGATGTTGTGACCTCCTGATCCAGTTTCCCTTTCTTTTGTTCCATCTATTTAAAACTTATTCATAGTTCTCTTGATGGTTCTTGAACAGACTTTGAAGTCAGAGTATGAATGTTGGTACCGTTACTGAAGGACTGAATGATCTTTTTCGTCTTACTAGGGGGAGATATAGTGGGGTTGACACAAAATGATTTTAACCTGTTCTCTTTCTAGCTGAATAACTCAAAGGATTTTCAGAGATTCTTACGACACATGCTGTCAAAATGGCTAAACGTCTCATCTGAAAACCTGGAAAAAATGAACTCAGTTAGTTTAGTTGTTTTTAAGTATTAAACATTTTGTGGGATGGACAATTGTCCCATGCTGTTACACGGTTTGAACAATTTTGCTGTTACACCCGGTATCTTTGCAGATTATACATCTGTGTATGGGTGAAGCTCCCAAAATGTAAATGACCAAAGCCTGGCAGCCGATCGATCACCTTACCAAGCTCTCACAGCCAATGGGAGAAAAACTAGTTTGCAACATTCACTATTTTAAAAGTTAAATTAGTAACATTTCAGCATCACCGAGGTGTTCCACTAGTTACGATGAAAAACTGCGCCCTAAACGAGGATCCTTGCTTTTAGGGTCTGTTGGGAGTCAAGTTCACCCTGTAACCTTAAATTGAGCGCCTATACATGATCGCAAAAGAGACTGGAAAAATGTACAATTGCTGAGGATGTTTGGAAAACGACCGATTCCTTTCACTGCTCCAGAATGCATCTGAGTTCACCGTTTTTTAATCGAATTCACCTCAAGCAAGGCAGTAAAGCAACTAAGACACAAAGGGTTACTGGGTTTGGAAGAATTGGAAAAAAACATTTTAAGGAGCAAGAACAAAAGAAGATTAATCAGGAATACAGTAGATAATGATTGACATCGCATTTAAATTTTTGAAGATCAAATTTGGCCGGAAAGCATGGAGCCGGAAGAGTGTTCCACAAGAAAGTAGTGCGGGAAAAGAAACTGTTAGCTTAGAACTCACGGTTACATCTAGCCAACTCAACTATATATATATATATAGCCAACTATATATATATATATATATATATATATATATATATATATGGATATCGATTAGTAAATCGAGAAATAATTAATCGCCAACAAGGTCACGTAA